TAGATCAGTATCTCATTCCATAACAGATCTATTGTCAGTGGATCTACCTCCCAGACCAATCAGGTCTTCTAGTTCCAGCCTGCTCTGTCTACATAGAACTAGATAAATGAAAAGGGTAAATGATTTAATCAACTATAACAGGTTAAAGTCAGCCTCTGCAGATAGCTGCATGTTATTTATGAACAGCTTTGATCTGTTTTCCATCTCCATCCCTCCTGATCGTACCGGAACATAAACTATACAAACATTTCTTCATGCTTTACAACATCTGAAATTAAATCGTATTTTCCTTGGATTTCTGAGTAATGAAGGTGAAGTTTCTGAACCCTGAGGAGGTCAGGTGAAAGTTTGGGAGTCAAATAGGCTTATTTGGGATTTAAAATGGGTTTGATCTGGTTGGGCATCAGTTGAGGCTTTGTCAGTAATATCTGTAATCTAAGATTCAAATAGTCCGTCCAACATTTTGCATTTTCAGGATAAAACTCGAAGTGTCTAGAAGAAGTGTCTCTGCAGCCACAGATTGGAGAGCAGCAAAAGTGTTGGAATGAAGAACCTTCTCTGGTTGATCACTGCTGCATCAGGCAAGTACTTCAGGTTTTCATTTCCAGGTCCGTTAGTTTACCAGGCTGAGCTGTTTCTGAAATACAAAAAAATAGAAAATATATAGATGCTTTTAATAGAAACATAGTTTTATAGATTTATTTTGTGAAATGGAGAATGATTCCAGATGTTTCCATGTCTGTCCCTGCAGCTCTCTGCTCCGTCTCCTCTCTCTCTGAACGGCGCTACCATTTCATTTATGAACCAAAGAACTGGACCGAAGCTCAGAGTTACTGCAGGGAAAATTACACCAACCTGGTTACCGTGGACAACCTGGACATCATGACAACTCTGAACAAAATGGTGGAACTGGACGCAATGTCCCCCTTTACAACACATTTAAAGCCAATTTTTCTGTTTCCTTGAAAATGCAGTAAAGCTGTAGTTTACCTTTAGTTTTATTGCTAATATTCTCACTTTCAGTTTCTAAGTTTTATTTCATTGCTTGAATATTTTGCAGAAAAAGCAAGAGTCAAAACATTTTATTGCTTAAAGCTTCAGTGACTTTTTACACATTTCCTACTAAACATCCCATAATTTATAGATAGTTTGTAAAATAATCTTTGTAGCCATAACTTCTACTACTTGGGGAAAACTTTTCAAAAGGTCAAAGATTGTGTGTTCATGAGTTTTAAGAAATAAGTCACAGGATATTCAGCCTTATTAGTTAATGTGAATTACAGTGAAATGTAGCGTCTACATTGATGTTCCCCCCTTAAAGGTTAGCAAGCAGCTAAATACCTGAGGATCCATCTGGAGCTCAGGGTCCAGCCAAAGACTGAATGTGGGGTTAGATCTGGGAAACTGCAGACTTCTCATGAAACTGACCCAGTGCCACCATTCAGACCTTATAGCCCCATTGACAGCATTACTGGTACAAAGGCTTAAGCCCTGAACGCACCGGCTGCGTACGACCGGCTGCGTACGACTTTTTAATCCCTGATCTGATTTTTTCCTTGTCACACTGACCGCCTATTGAGAGGATCCGACTAGGCAGGGTGGGCAGATCTGAGCAACTTCCATCTCTGCACTAAACACACATTAAAACTATTTCAAACATCTGACTTGGAAAGATTATGAAAGTTATAAAAAAAAAAACACCAGTGCAAAGCAAAGCCCCACTTAAAGGTATTGTGGAGGATTTTTGCAAGTTTTATAAAAAAGACCCGCCGTCGCCACAAAATGCCATGCACAACCCTGCAGCTGCTCCCGAGAGGGACGCGTATTTAATGGGTGCAAGAGCCCATTTTTCCTCGTGCACGCTCTGTTTAAAAATAGCTGTTCTCATCGCTCATATTAGCTCACTGTGTCTGACCGTCATCCCTAAATCCCTCCATCACTATAGAGCAGGGACTATATAGTGAACTTTATAGTGAACTCAGGTAACTGACCGTTCAGACAGATGATCACTGCTTTTTGCTCCGTTGGTCACGTAACTCCTCCTCCACCGCGCGGAGCCGGCGCCATCTTTGTTATTAGTCGCCGCTGTCGGGTAGCGACAACCCCAATACGACAGCAGGCCGCTGTCACAGCGAATCCCATAATGCTTTGCAAGGAGAGCTCTCCGTGCTACTTGACAACACTAAAGATGATAGATACAGAATTCATGCTCTTTTCAGAACAAAATTTTGAATTATTTGGGCTAATGATAAAATTATGTGCCTCTGCAAGTCATCTAAGAGTCTTCAGTAAAATCATAGATCAATAACTACTTTAATAATAGCATAAACATTCATTAAATGTGGATGTTAGTGGGTAATGACCATTGAAATACGGTACGTTCGCCCCAGAACTCAAACCTGAAAGAATTTTTGTCCACTATACCTTTTATTTACACAACATTGATGTTTAAATATATGCGTCTATTTGTTAGCAAGGGATTCAGGAAAGTAAGAGTTTGTCTTTATTTAGAAAATAAAGATGGATGTTGTGCGTGTTCCTGTTGGAACACTGTAGATTGACCCTGAGGTTCTGGTGCCTTTCGGCCACCCCTCAATGTTCATTGGCTATTGACTGGCCACCCCTATTAGGATTTTCGGGCTACGTTTCTGCTTCCATCTAAAAAGGCTTAATTGTTTCTGATGTTTAAACATATTTGTTTGAAAAGCTGCTAATTATTATAGAACAAGTTGTTATGAAGGCTGTGGATAAAAACAGCTTAGAAAACATAAGGTTGTCTTTTTTTCTTTCTCTCTCAATGTGTCCACAGGCCTCAGAAACTCAGCCCCTCCCTTCTCTCTCTTTGTATTTGGGAATTTTTTGGACGGCGTGTTGAATTCAGCTTGTCAATAAACCTTTTTTTTCGCCGTCCGGTTTTGGGCAAATGAAGACAATCGTCTCCATTGTCTTGATTTCTGTTCTAAGAGAATTGTAGCATTTTGAGCCCAAACAGGACTGCTGATTGGAATAAAGGTAAAGAGGATGATCGGGTATCTTTTTCTGCGAACTTTTAGGCGTATATCTGTGGTGAGCTGCGGTTTCAGACAGTCATTGAAGCTCTCATTTCTCCCCGTGCTTCTTTGAAAACGGCCGAGTCGGAAGAGAAAAAGTGTCTATGAAGTGTGAGAAGAAAAGAAAGGCCATAGAGGAGGCAGATATAGCTGCGTGAAGCTGACAGCCCCCCCACGTCAAAAAACTCTACAAATATACCATTTACTGAATGGTTAGTGCAACGTTAGTGCAGATTTGTGCAGAAAAAAATATTGTATGTGCTACTTTTGTTTAAGAGATATTAAGATTATTTTTTAGTTCATCCAGAGGTCACCATCCCCCCATTAAACTCCGATTTGAACCAAAGTGGTCTCCTTTTTTAGTGCTTCGTTTGTGCTGGTTTGTGCAGTTAAAACGGTTATTTGTGCTATTTTAGTTTTTACGATATAATCATTTTTGGGCAAAGAGCTCTCCTCGCAAAGCATTATGGGATTTGCTGTCGCCATAGGCTGTCACTATAGGGCGGACGTTGGGGCGCAGTAAACTTGTATGAGCCATGAGAACAGCAACTTTTAAATGGAGCGTGCACGAGGAGAAATGGGCTCGTGCACGCTCTCGCACGCGTTTAATAGGCGTTCCCTCTCTGGAACGGGTACATGGTTGTGCCTGTGCATTCTTTTAAAGTGGAGAAGGAGGATCTTTCAAAAAATGTGTGAAAATCCTCACTTTAAAGCTGGTGGGTGGGTGGGAGGGGCTAAAGTCATTTAGAAGATACCTGCAGCAAATCCCACTTAATCCTCTAATTATTTTAGTTACTTTTTCTCTTTAATTATTCATATAAATTAGTTATTTTATTATCTCTAAGCCATTGCAATCTGCTTTCCTGTTGTTTGTTAACTTACAGAACCTTCTATAGTCTGTAAAGTTCTTATATAAATAAACTTGACTTTCCTTCTTTTTAAAATGATTTTAAAAGCTGTTGCTGCTTTAAAATTGTCAGCATGTTCACCTTTAAAAATAAATAAAAGAAGATGTTGCAGCTTTGATGCTGTCCATGTTCTATTTTCTATCAAATACTAAATTTGACATGGAAACTTAATCAACTTCAATAGAGTTAAACTATTATAAAGAGATAATCTAGTTTGCTTTCATTTTATCATAAGATTGTAAAAGTTTGAAGTGTATTTGATTAATTTTCCTGTTATATGATTGGATATTCAAGTAGCCAATCATAACAACAAATACTTTAATAGCATTTATTAACTACTAATCAAATCTACCCCTAGTTTTCCATATGTGGGGAGCGTCATTAAATCTCAAATGGTGTCAAAATCATTCCTGTTATAGTTGTTCTCCCTGAAGGTCACTTCTACCTCCTGAGGATGTGAAGGTTCTGCTAATGATCTACTGTTTGACCCAGAAGGCAGATAATCAAAGCATCCAGGATAGCTGCTATTTAGGATGAACTCTGTAAGAAACATAAAAACAGCAACAACGGATAACAAAGCTAAGCTAAGCTAAAGGAGCTTCCTAGAAATGTAGTGGAGTAAAAGTAAAAAGTTCCCACCCAAAAAAGATGAGTCATGTACAGTAAATACTCAGTAATCGTACTAGATTACTACAGTAATCCAGTAAATATACTGCATTATTGTCCCCCATTGCTCCACCTTACGGAGGCCGTACAGCTCTGGCTCCCCGAGTACCAACCCGCCTCACCAGCTTCGCTGCAGTCATGTCTAAAGGTGAACCTTAATCATGTAACATCTGAGCAGATGTTTTCCTGCTTTTCTCAGTCATGAGGCTGAAGGTTTTCTCTTTCCTGATGAGGAGGCGAAGCCCTGTGAGTCAAATACATCATTTGGGATTTAAAGCGTGTTTGAACTGGTAGATATCAGTTGAGGGATGTTAGTTAAGCCTGTCGTCTAAAATGCAAATAGCTTATGCAAGATTTTGCATTTTCAGATGAAAAATGGAAGCCTGATTTCTGCGCTCTCAGATTAGAGACGTGATGAGATGGAGAACCTTCTTTGGGTCATCATTGCAGCATCAGGTAGGCGCATTAGGTCGTCTTTTTCAGCTTCATCTGTTTGACAAGCTGAGCTATTATCACACAAAAACAAATGTTTTATGTCATTAATGCTGTTTATTAAAGCAAAATAAAAACAGATTTTATTCCTGAAGTGGAGAATGATTCCAGATGTTTCCATGTCTGTCCCTGCAGCTCTCTGCTCCGTCTCCTCTCTCTCTGAACGGCGCTACCATTTCATTTATGAACCAAAGAGCTGGACCGAAGCTCAGAGTTACTGCAGGGAAAATTACACCGACCTGGTTACCGTGGACAACCTGGACGTCATGACAACCCTGAAAAACATGGTCGACCTGAACAAACTGTCTCCCTTTACACATGTAAAGTATTTTTTTTAATATCTGCAACCTAAAATAAGTTAAATCTATAGTTTTTTTTTTTTATTTATGCATCTTGTCTTTATTGCGAATGTTCTTGCGATCATCTTTACTTTAAAGTCCAACCCTGTAGATCCAATCCCAGGTTAACAGAGAGCTTGTAGCACAGTGCTGGTCTGAGCTTTACCAGCTCTAAGGATATTGCTTAATTGGTGCTTTTTGCAGTCCCCATGAATATATTATTATACACAGAAAAATGTGGCCTTTATGCTATTGGGAAAGCAGAAAATGATACAATACAAAGAGCGTATGAACATACAATATTTGAAAAAAAAAATGTGCTTAGGGGAGTGATGATGGATGAGAAGATGTCTTGGACATCTCATATCTTTTGTAAACAAATGTGTGAGTATTATGAAGCTAGCTAGTCATGCTCTCGTTATCGCCACGTGTGTGATGACATATTTAAGTATTGTTTAATTTCTATAAATAAAGTTAAATGACTATAATTACATTAAAAAGGGCAAAATGAGTACTTAACCTTCAGGGTTCTGCCCTCTGTTTAGGTTTAGCTTTAGTTTCTCTGTAATTTTGTATCTTTGTAGTTGTCTGGCCTTTTTGTGTTTTGAGTTACTCTCTGCTGCCCCCTTGTGCCGGTTTCCTTTCCCATTGGCTCCCTTCTAATTAGTGCTATCCACACCTGCTCCCTATCAGCCCATCACCTGTTCTGTTTCCCTTATTTACGCCACCTCTGCAGCTCCTCGTTGCTGGTTTGTTGTTTCTTTGTTGGTTGCTCCCCATGTGTTGTTTCTCCCTGGTGTCTCCTGCTTTTACGTTTTTAATTTGTTGCTGGATTTTTGCATCTGTTGCCTGTGGAACCTTAATTAAACCAGCAGAACTCATCTCTGCATTTGGTTCCTCCACCAAACAGAAAACGTACAACGATCACCTACCATCCGTAAAAACTTTGGTTAACTTTAAAATTCCTGAGCTGATATTTTACTGTTAAAGTTTTCCTGCAAATATTCAGACATGATTCTGTGACACAGATGGTCTTCACACAGTCAATGGAAGATGGAGTAATAAATGTTATCAGCCAACAGTAATAACTGCTTTAAAATCTATTTCATTGCAGGGAGTCATGGTATGTTTAGACAGAACACCAAAAGCTTGTTTTCATTTTATCCCATTTAAAAATGTTCAGACAAAAAAAACCCCTCAATATTTGGAGGAAAGAGATTGGCTATGTCAGCTGGGAGCATGTTAGCAGGGCAAGAAGGACGTGAAAAGACCTTTACATTTTCATTAATATCTTCAAAGCCAAAGCAGCACAAACAACTACTTTTACTGCACAAACCAGCACAAACGTAGCACAAACATTTGACACTAATTTTGTCTGATTTGAAGGAGGTGGGGGGGGCAACTTCACTCAGGTCACACAGACAGGTGGATAAAGTAGTGGGATGGTTTATTATCTCTGCCAGAACATTCTTTCAAAAGAGATTTAATTTGTGTCTAGGAGAGAATAAAAGTCAAGCCAATCAATAAAATGCCGACAATGATTAAACGATTTTCCAACAGGCCTGGATCGGTTTGTACTTTGACGTGGTCCGCTGGAAATGGTTGACAGACACAGAATTTTACAAAATCAACGTTCCGAACTTTGAGAACTGGGACGTTCACGAGCCAAACACTGTGTGGTACATAGCAGCATGTGGAGGGATGTACCCCTCTGGAAGGTGGCACGATACCGACTGCGAATTTGGCTATAGACCAGTCTGTTCCAATGTGACTGGTAAGTGTTCAGGCTTCCTGCTTCTTATGCTGCGTTCACACCGAAGGTGTTCTGTACCTCAAAGCTACCTGCAAGCTGCCATCGCTTCTGCAGACATTCTGCTTATCAAAAATAAATAAATATCAAAGAATGAAACTCCAAAGGCTAAAAGCAAAGCTGGTAGAATGGATTGTTATGGAAACGGAACAGAGAGCAGCTCTGATCATTATTGCTGCACTAAAACATTTTTTGGAGAAACTGTTTATATCAGTGGCGCTGTAGGTACCAGATCTGCTCGGGGCTCCGCCCCTTCTTATGACATCATCATATGGCAACTTCACTCAGACAAACTGTAGTTACGTTTCTTAAGGATCAAATCTCTTCTGGAGTCTCAAAATATTATTCGCTATATTTGCTATTATTTTATATTTAATCTGCGATCTAAAGCAGCTGAAAGTAGAAAACAATCATCAGAAGGAAAGTCCTGCCTTCTGAGACAGACTGAGCTCTGCTGTTTCACAAGGAGAAGCTAAAATATCATTTTATTTTTATTCTTTTTATTAACATCTGAAGTCAGATGGAACATCTTAAAATGACTTTCATAGAGATTTTAGACAAAAAACTTATTCTACAAACGAATGTTGTTGTCAGAAAGTTAAAAGTAGTGTAGCTCAATATGGCTAACTGAGCGAGGCCGGAAATACGTCATCAATCGGACGAAAAATTTAATGATGCTTTACTCCTCATTAAAGATTAAATACTTATCTTACAAATCTAAAAATAAATATATAAATATATTTGAAGTGGCTGCACAGTGTTGCAGCGGGTAGCACTGCTGCCTTGCAGCAAGCAAGTTCTGGGTTCAATTCCCAGCCTGGGGTCTTTCTACATGGAGTTTGCATGTTCTCCCTGAGCATGCATGGGTTCTCTCTGGGTACTCCAGCTTCCTCCCACAGTCCAAAAACAGCACGGTTAGGTTAATTGGCTTCTCTAAATTCTCCTTAGGTGTGAGTGTTTGTTTGTGAATGGTTGTTTATCTCTGCGATGGATCATGGAATCTCTCATCCGTAGAAAGCTGAGGATCGAGACCAGCGCCCCTCGCCACTCCACTTGGGATAAAGCGTGTAAGAAAATGGATGGATATTTCAAAGTATTTTACATATTAATTTTTTTTTTATGTCTTAATAAGGGTCATTGGGTGGGTGGGGCGGTGGCCTAGCGCCCTCTATTGGCCAGCCGCCACTGGTACAAATACCCAATTTAACTAGAAATGTTAAAACCTGCAGATGAAAAATATTGGATTGTTTATTCTGGTTCTTGCAGTTTTTACCTCAAACCTTAAAAACTCTTTTTATTCACTTCCAGCCGCTGCGAGCGGCAGCAGGAAATCCGCCACAGGCTGGATGCAGCAGAGAGCTTTCAGCGGGGATTCCCAGCGCCGCCTCCCAGCGGGATGCTGGAGGTCTGGAGCTCCCAACAAGAACTGCAGATTATAGCGAGATTATAATCCTGATGAACTGATGAACAGAGGATGTTGGAGGCGGACTTTCTGACATAAAAACCTGTTGAAACTATTTTTCCAGCTCATAAAGTAAATAAAGCCGAGCTGCTCTCTAGCTGGAAGCTACAGAGCAGATAAACAACCAGAGAGGCGAGCAGCAAAGCAGCTGGACCACAGTTTGGTTCGGCGTCCAGATTTCTGCGTTTAAGCCTTTCTGACCCATATAATGCCTTTGGTGTGAACACAGCATTAAGGATTTCTTACTTTCTAACTGAGCTTACTTGTGTTTCCCATTTAATTACTGCAGAATAAAATGTTACAGTATTCTGTTAGGATAGTTTTTATCCCATCTGTGAAAGAAGAGGCAGACATTCAGTAATAAGAAATTTTCTTTAAAAAGCAACAATAACTACTAGTTGTTATAGAGTAATATTTGAAAATCTTTCGTAACCAAATTAAATCATGAAATCAATCAAGTTTTTTAAAAGGAACTGAATTTTAAGAACAAATCAATTTATGGGATAATAAAGGAAGTATTGGTTGACAAAAATTTTTTGAAATAAACTTACCAGGTACAGTAAGTCCTGTCTGATTTTTATATTTCCAGGTCAGAATGTTGAATTTATCTTCATCAACACTCTGATGACCTGGATGGACGCTCGGAGCTACTGCAGGAAACACTTTACAGAGCTGGCCATTCCCAGAAACACGTCTGAGAACGAAAGGATACGGGCAGTGATACCAGCAGGTCAATTCAGCTGGACAGGTCTTTACAGAGAGAGCTGGAAGTGGTCGGATGGAACCATGTATGTGTTTCGACCCTGGATATCAGGCCAACCAAGTGGCGGATCAGAGAAATGCACATCTACATTCTTTGATCACACTGGTCACTGGGGGGACCGGCTATGTGATGATAAGAAACCATTTATCTGTCAACATGGTAGGCGGCTGTTAAAATGCTTGTTTGATAGTCCAAACTTTTAACATTTAAATCTGGGTGTCTGATTTTGATTCATATTTAAATAATTCTGCTGACAAATGTTCAATATTGATAGAAAAAAAATCTATTAAAATTATACAGCAACAAGAAAATAATCTGCCAGAAGGTGGATAACCTCTGCAAGGTTGCGACTTCCAAGACTGTGGGCTGGCTATTATGTGGCATTAAAAAAAATTTTTATACGCCTTTTTAAGCTAAATTAACTTAATTTACAAACTAACTCACACTGAGCCTGGTTCTGCTGGAGGTTTCTTCCTGTTCAAAGGGAGTTTTTCCTCTCCACTGTCGCTACAAGCATGCTTAGTGTGAGGGATTGCTGAAGAGTCAATGAGTCGATGCAATCAGCTGGTTTTCCTTAGATAGAAAACTTTGAATCAATCTGACTGGATGATCTGGTGAACTGGAAAGTGACCTGAGATGACATGATGTGAATTGGAGCTATAGAAATAAACTGAATAGATCAGCGTTGTCCCTCGCCTGCAGAGACATCCGTCTGATTGACAGTGGGTTGTGTGGAGTCAGGAATTTGAGGCAGAGGCATTTTTTGCAAGAATAAAAGGTTCGGTACAGACGGAGAGATAGAGCTCTGACTGAGACAACCTCAGTACATACATTTATACCTTAGAAACTCCCAACAGACACACACACACTCGACCCCCCCCCCCCACCCCCCCCACACCCAGGGGAACCAACCCACCCCCTGCATAAAGAACTTTCTCACACTTGAGCATTTGGAGGGAATAGGGATTGTTATATGGAGGACCCTTGGAGGACCCTGGTGTCATAGAAGTCTCCTCTTTTTGCGAGTTTCCTGAAAATGACATCAGCTTACAGTCAGAAATCACAGAGTGCTACTATCACAGCTGTCTTCTACAGTCTGTGTTAAATATTCCAGCATGTTGATGTCATCTCATTGATGTGAGGCGCTGCTCCACACTGGAACTTTATTCCAATGGTTGCAGAATAACTGAGAAATGGTTTAAAAGAGTAACTTTGGTCTAATCGATTGTATTTGAAACATTAAGCAACAGGTAGATCTTACTGCGTTTTCAAAGACTGTTAAATCCCATTAGAGGAAACACTGCTTTATTTTTTTTAACTCTGATACAATTAAAACTATGAGAGAAAACTGTTAGAACGTGGATGTCTACAAAGTTTGGTCTTCTTAGGCCTGTCATGATGTGACAGAGTGGGAGAAATCCCCTAAACGTTTTATATTTAATCTTCCCAGTTTCCTTGGTTATGGTTCATTTCTTTGGAGGCAGGATAGAGAGTTGCTCACCGGAGCTCAATGGAACCCAGCATTGTTATTACAAGTCACGATACACTCAGAAAGTTACATTTAAGGAGGTCACAATGAAATCTATTCAGGATTAAAATGTTCTGGATGTTTCTCTTAAAGACCCGGTGCCGTTCACAAAGCAAGTGGTGAAAGTGAAGCTGGTGGGAAACTCTGCTGTGGATCTGAATGATCCTGCTGTCCTGGAGAAGCTGCAGGAAAAGGTAAATCATGGCAGGAATGAACCAAGAGATTTGTTTTATCAAACCTCAACAGTTTTGATGGAGTAGATTAGATTTTTATTTTTATCACATTTCAAATGTTTCAGATTAAAATGACATGTCTTTTGCATCTGACTAACTGAGAAGTACCTCAATAAAATCTTTAACCTCATGTCGCTGGTATTTAGCCAGTCCCGTTAAGCTCATGATTCATGAAGGTTTTTGTTTCAGCTCCAGCAGAAGCTGCAGGAGATGAACTCGGCTGCAGAAGTCAAACTGAGCTGGAAGAAACATCTAGATGGAACGACCTTCTACAAGGAGAAAAAGGAGGAGGAGCTAAAGTGACATGATGATGATGATGATGATGATGATGATGAGGAGGAGGAGGAGGCTGCTGTTTCAGATATCATTAGATACTTTAAAATTTAGCACAACTGAAATATAAAATATTAACTAAACAGCTGAAGGATGTCTGTGAAGAATCAGATTAATATTTTTATTTGTAGTTGTTTTAGTCTCTAAAGGACTTTAATTAAATGTTTAACACACCGTTGGGAAAAACAGTGATGTCAAAAGTCCATAAGTGAAGATGAAGTCCCCTTATGAAGCTGTAGGTAGATTATCCACTCTCTCTATGTTGTGCTTTACATGGTGTGTGGCTGAGGTGGCAGCATCTTACGTTCATTTTCTATCCATTCATATCGGCCTCTTGCTTTCATTACATAGCAACTCACAATAACAACCAGTTTGTCCTGGCCTGTCTTTGGACCCCCCTGTATCTATTGCGGCCCCTCCTCAATGGTGAGGCTCCTTACCCTACTTCTAAGGCAGGCACATCCAAAATCGGTTCTGTTTTTAATGTTTCTCAGCTTCAGCACAGCTGATTCAGGTGGCTGTCGTTAAGCAAAAGCCTGTTAATCGGTTATTAATGGAAATCAGGTGTGCCAGCGCAGGGAAACCCTGCTGAAAAATAAATGTGCTAAGTGTACTAAAATTTAGCATACTTTTGTGTACTTGAAGGCACACTAATCATTACTATACTTTAAGTGTGTTTATGATTAGTTAACTTGAAGGATGCTATTTTGGAACAACTAATTTTGTACTAAATATATTTTAATTGTAATTAAATTGTGGACAAGCTCAACTTGAAGTGTATTTAGTGTACTTTGATGTGCTAAAGTGGAACAACTTAAAGTATATTTTGTATACTTTAAGTATATGAGTTTATATGTACTAATATATGCTTAATTAGTCAAATTAAAGTGCACTATGGTTGTATTATAACTACATTAAAAATGATTTGTTAGTGTCTTAAAAATATATAAGCTTTATACTTTTAATATACTCTTACTGTGGTAATAATATGCTTAATTATACTGTTGGCTTATTCCAATTACTAAAAAAGCATACTTTGCAGTTAATAGTAAATATACTTTATCATTACATTGCTATACTACTTTCTACCTTGCACATTCTTGCAAATGTATTAACAGTATACTAAATGCTGAAAGACTTGTGGATATACTTCCGTGCAGATGAAAAAATATACTTTAATGTATTTGAAACATGTCCAAATTATAGTACATTACAAATAATATAACTTGTACTATCTCAGAATGTATAAACATTTACATATCGACGTTAACCATTTTCATTATAAAACTTACAACACATTTTCAAATATTGGTACTTTAGTACACTTTGTAGAAATATGTCAATTTCAGGCAGCAGACCTAAACATTACAAATAAACTTTAAAGAACGCAGAGGAATACTGAACAATGAAAAACAACATTCCTTATTATTGCACCCCTAAACCCTCGCACCATACAAAAACACGCCCACCACACATTATTTTCCTTTTTTTGGCTGAACTGCTCATTGTTACATTTTCGTCTGATGGCCGTGCGCACATCAGAGACACTTGTCTACGGAAACTCCAGAAGAACAGCGTCTGTTAACCAAACAGAGAGATACTGTAAATTCATAGTATTTTTGAGCAGTACATCAGAAAAGTCTGACAAATTGTATCAGTATGATATACCAGGGTCCATAAGTGCACCAGAAAAAAAAATTGTCCATTTCAGTTGAATTTAAATAAATCTGATGCATCAAGTGGTTTTATCAGATCTGATCAAAAAAATTAAACAAAGTAACAACAAAAATTGTCAGAGATCTCAGAAAAGAAAAAAATTATGAATCCGCAGAAAGAAAGGGAAGAAAAATCCTTAAGTTTCCTTGTTTTTCCTACCACCCTCCAGGGAACCGGATGGCATTCACATTGGGAACATTCTGCATCAACATCTCTGGTGGAGTCTAGTCCAGTCCATACAATGAACCGCTCAGCTGTAACAGCAGATTCTGCAACTATGTAAAAAAAAAAACAGCCTGCACACAAATGTGCAGAGCAATTACTTCAATTGGAAAATAAATCATGTAATCACCATAATATAAATTGGTTTTTACCACATTTATACAGACAAAAATATAAAGTAAAATTATCAATTTACATGTGGTTCACTGTCTAAGAAATCATTATGGTCAGTAGTCAATACTTGTATCTGGAAAAAACAATCCAGGACACCTATGAAGGGTTAATTTTACGTTAACCCCTTGTGGGGGTTTTACAGCAACATCACACAAGATGTAGCTAGCTTGAAAGTGCATTTTCTTTTTTAGAAGAGCACATGGGGGGTGTGTTAGCCTCCTTCTCACTGTGCTAATGCATTCAATAAATCAAAAGAGCTAGTAAAATTACATATATTACAAAACATTATATCCTGACTGGTTTTACATCTCAAAAAATATATATATTTCATTCACAGGTTCATGTGAACTCACCAGGATATTCTTCAACACAATAATACAGCAAATCTTCCTGCTCAACCGATTACATCTCCTGTTTCTACAATACAAATATAATAATCAAAATCGCGTTTTATACAGATATCTTAAGATTTCAAAACCAAATGGGAATGTTTTGAAAGTTACCTCTCTCCATGCAGACCAAGGCCTTAAAAGAAAAGCACGCTAGCTCTGAGCAGGGAGGAGCCGTGACTAACTGCTGCGCAGGTGTGGTGCATTCAAAGTCTATGGGAATTCTGATATCAGTACTGAACCAAAAACTCCCCAAGACTAAAATTCTTGGGGAGCTACTACTTTACAGACATCAAGGCCAAACAACCTCCACATATCACTCCTATATGCATGAAGTGCTGTCAGCGACTTTTAAATATGTGCACTCACCAATTGGTCTTGTTTGCAGTAGCCCTGCTTTGATCCATTAAACAATACTAATGAAATGTTCTTTTTTGAACACTTGAGACAATTGTAATGTGTTAAGTTTATTTCTTTTGCATTTGGCCAGTATTAACTTTTCTGTTGCAATGTGGGTTATGCTATTTGTTAGATCATAATGTAGCACTGCACCAGCTTTAAACCACTTGCTTTTCAGCAGAACACACATTTTTGTGCACCTGTACTTTTGAAGTGAACATTTAGTGTTTTGTTCAATGTGGTTTTGTGTGTAAGATGTATTGTATCATATTTCTTTTTCAAAACTTATTAAACATTACATAACAACTGCAATAATTGCTATCTGTGTACTTTACACACAGCACAAAATTGCATAATAGGGTTTAAGTGCATTTTTGTAGTTATACTATTGAACACTTTCCAAAAGAATTACCTGAAGTACAAGCGTATATAACTTCACTTCATAATTAGATTCAAATGTAACTTAAAATGCACTCAAACTTAATATTACAGTGTCGATATTAAAATGTGTACTTTTAAAATATGCTTTCAATGTACGTTACAATGACAACTTTGAGCATACAATTTAAAATATAGCAAAAATATATGTAAAAACAAATTTAAAATAAGTACACTTTAGAAATTACACATAACTTTCACTTAAAGTATACTTTTTTAATAATATATTTCTATAAAGTGTAACATAGTGTAATTATGTTAAAGTGTGTTAAAAGTATTAGCATGAAAGCGTAATGTTAGTATACTTTTTATATATTTACAAAAAGTACAATTTGTCTAAGTACATTTTCAGTAAACTATAGGAAATATGAATATACTTGAAATACAATAAAGCACATTTTTTTTTTACCAGGGAAGCTCTAAAACCTGGAGGCCAGTGGCCTTTGAGGACCAACTTTGTACATTTCAGGGTAGTAACCTAGAGAAGCCGACGTCTGGAAGGAGTGCACTACTGTCCGCCTTCTACACTCCTCACTCATGAAGAAAACTAAAATACTTGAACTCCTCCACTTGCTAAAGGCAAGCCACCTTTTGAAACGCCTTAAAGAAAACAAAACTACTGGCAGCAGCTGTTACTTTAGGAGGAATACAAACTTTATAACTTTATTTAATCATTTGACAGACATTAGAACAGGAGGTGGATAGAGAAACCAAAATAGATAACACAAGATTTTCCCAGATAATTTTTGGCAGCGTGTCTTTAGTCAGATAAGTATAAAAATACTCGCACTATATATTACTTCAAAAAAAGTAAAAAGTGCAGTTAAGTGCAGCTCCTTCTAAATGTAACTTTTTTAGAGAGGTTCCTGTGAGAAGCTATGAACCCAGCGCTGGTTACTGCAGATTGAAGCTCCATCATTTCCATGTTTGGATGACGGCTACTGCATAAACACCTGAATTTTATACTTTGATAGCTTGACTTTAACTCTGTTTGCATGTTTTAAAGCAGAAACTGAAACCTAAGAAGGATTGAAATGCATTTGAAATGTGTTGCTGCCTTTAAATTTTCAGCAGATTTACCAATTAAAAAAATAAAAAAGCAAATATAGCCGCTTTTAGACTTAGTTTGTTGCTGATGCTTAATATATGATGAGTATTTAACTTGATGATTTTTAAGTACAACAGTAGTTAAGCTGTTATAGGTGAATGGAGGGTTTGAAATGATCATTGTATGTGTGTATCCGCTGTGAGAGACATATTCTAAAAAAATAAATCCAGTAATCACAGTGTGTTATTTTCAACTATTTATTAATATGATACAGCTGCAAATAAGTATTTGAACACCAGAGAAAATGTATGTCAATATTTGGTGCAGTAGCCTTTGTTTACAATTCCAGAGGTCAAACATTTCCTGTAGTTTTTCACCAGGTTTGCAGACACTGCAAGAGGGATTTTGGCCCATTCCTCCACACAGATCTTCTCTAGATCAGTCAGGTTTCTGGACTGTCACTGAGAAACACATAGTTTGAGCTTTTCTATTAGGTTTAGCTCTGCAGACTGGCTGGGCCACGCCAGAACCTTGATCTGCTTCTTCCAGAGTCGCTCCTTTGTTATCCTGGCTGCATGCTTCGGGTCATTGTGATGCTGGAAGACCCAGCCTCCACCCATCTTCCATGCTCTAACTGAGGGAAGGAGGTTGTTCCCTAGAATGTGGTTATCATGGCCCCGGTCATCCTCTCCTGCATACAATGCAGTCGTCCTGTCCACTGTGCAGAACTACACCCCCAAAGCATGATGCTTCCACCCCCATGCTTCACATCAGGGATGGTGTTCTTCAGATGGGTCTAATCATTCTTCTTCCTCCAACCTCGGTTAGTGGAATTCTGACCAATAAGTTCTATTTTGGTCTCATCTGATCACATGACTTTCTCCCATCCTCTGGATCATCCAAATGGTAATTGGCAAACTGAAGACGGGCCTTGACATGTGCTGCTTTAAGCAGGGGAACCTTCTGTGCCATGCATGATTTCGAACCATGATGTCTCAAGGGCTGGTACAGCAGTGTGTCTCAAATATTTCTTAATTTAAGCCCAATATTGAAGTGTGGTCTGCGCTATGTTATTCCACGCCACAACGCCAGAGAGCCAATCAGGAACTAGCTGTGGGTCTAGATACGGACGAGGCGGCAAGGAAGTCCACTTCAATCCAATCCACTGTATTTATATAGTACATTTAACAACAGAAAATGTTTCCAATGTGCTGTACATAACAAATAAACAACAACACAACAATACATGAACACAATACAACAACAGATGAACTAAAAAGGACACAGATGACCACACAACTACACATTGTTAGGCCAAAGATTAAAAGTGGGTCTTAAGACGATACTTAAAACACTCCACTGTAGGGGCAGTCTGTATATGGAGAGGTAAAGTATTCCAAAGGCTGGAGCCAACTACAGAAAAGGCTCTGTCCCCTCTGGTTTTAGGCCTCGTCTGAGGCACTATTAACTGAAGATGGCCCTCAGACCTCAGAGCACGTGCCGGAGAATAAATCTGGAGGAGGTCAGTGATGTATTGAGGAGCCATCCCATTCAGGGCTCTAAACATAAACAATAAAATCTTAAAATCAATTCTAAAACAAACAGGGAGCCAGTGCAAAGACGCAAAACCTGGTGTAATGTGTCGATGTTTTCTGGTTCCTGTTAAAAGACGAGGCGCTGCATTTTGGACCAACTGCAGACGGGAGAGAGCTTGTTGGCTTATGCCTGAATAAAGTTAATTGCAGTAGTCCAGACGGCTAGAAATAAAAGAGTATAAAACCTGTTCAAAGAGGTTAAAAGATAAAAACGGTTTTACCTTAGATAAAAGATGGAGATGCTAAAAACACGATTTTAAAAATCTATTTATTTGTTTGTTCAGTTTAAAATCGCTTTCTATGGTGACACCAAGGCTGGTTACTTTGGGGCGCAGAAAATGCTTGAAAGATCCCAAGTCACAAATGGAACTTCCAAACACCATCACCTCTGACTTGCTCTCATTAATCTTCAGAAAGTTTTTTGACAGCCAAGCCTTGACATCAACCAGACAGTCAGGGGGGTGTCAGGAGGCAGTGGCTGTTTTTAGCAATTGGCAAATAAAGTTGTCAGTCATCAGCATAGAAATGGTACGCTATGCCATGTTTGTTAAAAATCTCTTTGAGAGGAAGGAGGTTAACTGCAAACAAGTGGGGGAAGTGGGGGCAAGTTTGTTCGACAATGGAGGGACATGAGGGTGTTCACTGTGACACCCCGCAGGTGACCTGGTTTCTGAGTATAAACCAGCATTCAGGGTATTACCAACAGTAACCATGGAAACGGTGGTCCCATCTCTTTCAGGTAACTTACCAGCTCCTCCTTTGTAGTTCTGGGCTAATTCCTCACCTTTCTTAGGATCACTGAGACCCCATCAGGTCCCTGTGTGAATAAATAGAGATCAGTGGTCTGCTCTAATGGTCGGCTAACGACATGCCATGAGAGAACGAAAACTCACAAGTACACATACTAAGAAACTGCCAATGTTTATTTACAGGTGAATGAGGCAAGTCTCACTTTAACAGATTAATGGTGTGAGTTGGTGATATTACTACAGAAACATGCAACCTTGCAACCTTTTTCCTGTTTGAAGGTCTTCTATTTCTATTGCCCTTGACATACATTCCTAGGATGTTTGACCATTTGCTGATTTTACAAAAAATAGCTTTTAAGATGGTTTTAGCATTTACGTTATCTTTAACACAAGTATTACAGGCTCCTGAATCACATATAAGTCTAACTGCCTGTCCATTAATTGCTAGAACTATTCATGTTTTTTCTTTTAATGCATTTAATATCCCCCATGCTCCATACACATCTACAATTTTAACCCCTCTAATTTTTTTTATTCCCTGTATGTAGCTTGCATGACTAAAATAATTTTCTGGTGGGTTATTTATTTTTAATGTTTTTTTCCCGAACTTAATAGTTTTGGAGACCCTGCAGAAGCATTAGGAAGGCTGTCAGCTGGATCAATGCTGCAGTCACCACTCCATCTGACATCCCATCCCCCCCACCCCCCACCCCCCGCTGCCGCAGATTCAAGCTCTCTCCCTCTAAACTGTGTTTCATTATTTTTTGGACGCACAAATAACTTAAAAGACCCACAAACATAACTTTAAAGACAGAAACACATAACATTAAAAGACGGACAAACACAACATTAGATCTATTTATTAATTTTTAATAATAACATCGTATCTACTTTGCGCATGTATTATATCAACAACTCGCTATTTGGAGATCATTTAACTATATACTTATTTATCTATATATTTATTTATTTATGTATTTATTTATACATTTTTTTATTTATGTATTTTTGCACTAGTGCTTGTTTTTAGCCGGCACATAACATTTCTCCATTGATCTACTTCCACACACCATCTATTTCATACTTTTACTTCCACTTCTACAAGTATTTTAAATTACTTGGATCAATCTGACACAAACTATCCATACCCCATATGATCTTCTCTATACTCTTACCTGAACCCATCCTTTTTAATTCTTTTACTTCCCTGGCTCTCTTTAGTTATTTTATTCTTTAGTTCTTATTATTTTATTATTTTTGGAATAGAGGCGTCCCTCAAACCCATATATTTTTTAAACCATATATTCAAGTGTTTATTTTTAGTTGGATCCTGTGCTTCTACAAACTTCTAATCGTAGATTTTAAATTATCTCTAAATTTATTTTGACCTTTACCCATTTTAAAGAATTTAGTCCAGTACAAACACCTAGGGTATTCTACGCACTGGATGTTTATTCAGCAGGAAGGCACCCAAAAACTGTTGTGGTAATTTCTGCTTCTACCTTTTCAGGTGAGAAATTCTTGCCTCTGCATCCACAAGAACTGTACTGTATTAACCCCTGCTGTTTTAGTATGAAACAACAGAACCTGAAAGGTTTGATTGTTTCCTCACACACTCTCACACAGTCACACCTATTTTAAGGCCTATTATATATTTTTTTATTTTAACCAATATAGATGCAAAACACCTATCGTTACATGTACACTTTGGAGTCTCAAACTCCAGGCCCTCGCACGCATCGGATACCCAGATACCACATCTGTCAACAAAACTTGGTTTCGTCAAACATCCCTGCTGCGGCGGCTACAAACCTTACTATCTCGAGAACAACACAGAGTCCCAAACTCTAACGCACAGAATACCCAGATGCCACATCTGTCAACAAGACTTGGTCTGGTCAAATATTCTTGCGATTAGAGCTGTAACTTAAATGGTCCCAGACCAACTTTTGATCAAAAGCTTTAGGCCTACCCTTTGCTGTGTAGATCAGTCCTCAGCGGGAGCCGTCACCAAGATGCCCACGGAAGAGCTGGACCAAACTGGCCCCGTCCGGCAAAGGGAGGACGGCTGTCGACAGATTCTTGGCCTTGGTCCCACACGGTCCTGGACAATTGGATCTTGACTCCCGGGTTTCGGCACCAAAATGTTGGGTTCGAAAAATGTAGGTTCATAAAAGAGAAACTGAGTCCACACAGAAGGGGGATTTTTTAACGGCTTCTGCAGAAGGAGAGAGCTACGTTCAGCAGAAGCCTTTTTATTAGCAGATCATAACACATGGGGTGGGTTACAAAATAGAGTGTTCTTCTGACAAGGCAATTGATCAGGTCATAGGACAAAATGCTCCTCTGATTGAATCACAGAATAGAGTGGTCTCCTGATAACTGTGATTAGCCTTGCACAGACATCAGCAAGTTTCTACCACCGTTGCATGACAGTTTGCAGTAAACAGAGTGAAGCATCTCATTTCTCAAATGTTCCATATGCACACACATTAACTTTATAATCGTCATTGAATAAACCTGACAGTCGCAGTCCAAAATATATTGAAAGTGCAAGTTTATGAATTTGAACGGAGAGGGAACGTTGCCTTTGAATCTTACTAGCTTTCCAACATTACTAGCGATAGCTTTAATGATCCCACTTTGCAATCTAGGGAGGGATTAGCAGCAGCTTTGCACGTTCAAAGTTTTATTAGCAACTAAAATTGGAAGTTAAGGTTCTGTCTCTGCAGTGAGCGTGCAGTTAGCCGTGACTGGCATGAGTGGACAGTATGGGGTGGATTACAGATCCATTTGCTCCTCACTCAGGAGGACAGAGTTCAGTCGATTTTATATGTTGCCAACAATGTCCCAATTAACACAGAAAAGAGTTACTAAATATTGCGCCTTCAGACCTCTCTAGTGCCGTTTTTGAAATATAAGCGCTCATGAGGAATGAAAGGTAAAAAAATATTGCACCATGAGAGCTAAGTTGGCAACACCAGATCTCCCTTTAACGCTAATTTCAAAGGTGGATCTTAGGATTTCTCCTGTTGCATTTTTTGTCGGTGTTCTGTCAGAACAGCATACACTGTCAGATCTGCATACCATTAGCTTTTATCTAACCTAAATCTATTCTGAGGCATAATAAAAACCACAGTCAATGTTTTCTGTGATTTTAAACATTTAAATTGCAGCACAAACGTTTTTACAACCAAAATAACTTATTTTAAATTAATATTGACTAATATGGTTTTAGTTATAGAGGCTTTGTCTCTCAACATCTCGGAAACTTCATTCATGTCTGACCGTTTCTGCATCCAACAAATAGGAGTAGAATAAAAGCTGATTTTCTTTCTTTTTTTTAAGTTGAACGTCTTTTTTTCTGGTGGGTACATTGCTTTTAAAATTCAGAGTGGGTATAATTCTCTGTCCTCTCTTTACCCTGAGGAGGTCAGTTGGTGACACCTCTGGAGTCAAATAAGTCATTTGGGATTTAAAATGTGTTGGTGCTAGTACAATAACACTGGAGGCTTTCTTAGAAAGGACTGCCGCCTAAAATGCAAAGAGCTTATGCATGATTTAGCATTTTCATAATAAGAGAGGAAGCTGGTCTTCAGTCACAGACTGCAGACCAGCCAATGTGCAGAAATGAAGAACCTTCTCTGGTACATCACTGCTGCATCAGGCAAGTGCAATAGTTTTAAATCTTCATTTTTTACTTTTTGAAAAGGTGAACTATTCTCAATCAAACAAACATATTTTATTTCTCTCATTTATGGTGTTTAACAAAAAAAAAAAAAACTGTTCCTGAAATGGAGAATGATTCCAGATGTTGGGGGTAATATTTCCATGTCTGTCCCTGCAGCTCTCTGCTCCGTCTCCTCTCTCTCTGAACGGCGCTACCATTTTATTTATGAACCAAAGAGCTGGACCGAAGCTCAGAGTTACTGCAGGGAAAAGTACACCGACCTGGTTACCGCCGACAACCTGGACATCGTGAAGATGTTGTACGAGATGGGTGATCCGAACAAATTGGACCCCTTTGCAGAAGTAAAGTCACTTTTTCTCTGTTTCTGTGAAAGTAATCCTTGAAATCAATAGTTTTAGAAAGTTCTTTTAAGAAGCCTCTGAAAACTGAAGATATTAATAAAAGCATTGATTGCCTTTTCAGACATATAATCCCATTCTCAGAGGTGTGAATTAAACAAGTATAAATACTTAGTACTTAAGTACACTTAAGTAATGAAGTACACTTTTTAGGTATCTATACTTTACTCCATTACTTATTTTTCCTCCTACTTCTGACTTCTAATCATTACATTTTCACACAAGTATCTGTACTTTCTATTCCTTAGATTTTTAAATCAATCGTTCCTCGTTCCTCTTGGCTTCGGTTTAATGTTTCCAAATCTTTATTTCCCGTCATGTGCTCCATCCAATGCAGATCATTGGCTCCACCCACATCTAGTGAAAACTAGTGTGATTGGATGAGTCATAGAAGGCAAACACTCATTGGTTAGCTAAAGGAAATCATCAGAAGCAAGCAGGAGTTCTTCAAACTGCTAACGTGAATTGTCTATGCCATGCTACAATGTGGGATTCAGAAAAAGATGTTGAAATGTCTGAAAGGTCGGACACAGGCGAGAGCGTATCGGGAGACAGAGACCAATCAGACCTCCCTCATCCTTGGCCCTATCTGAGAGAATTTAGAGAAATAGTCCAAAAATTGAGCTTTCATTCATATAGTGGCATCTGGCTGTTTTTTTTAAGGTTACTTTATACTTTTATACTTTAAGTAGTTTTGGAGCACATACTTTTACACTTTTACTTGAGTAAAGAGGTCAAGTTGATACTTAAAATTTTACCAGAGTGTTTTTAAACTGCAGGATCTATACTTCTACTTAAGAAACAAACATGTGAACTTTTGACACCACTGCACATTCTTAATATAGTGGCATTAATTACCAATCTGATTGGATGATCTGGTGAACTGTAAAGTGCCTCATGATGACATGTGTTGGGAATTAGCCCTACAGAAATAAACTGAATTGAATTAAACTTGGTGCTGTGCTTTGTAGCCATAATAATTTTAACTATCGTAGAAAGGCCCTAAGCTGTTCATTAATTACTTAATTAATTAAGTGGTAAAATAAAAAATGGCCGATTTTAATATTTGATCAGGAGAGAACTTGGAGCAACTTTTCGAAAAATAAATGAGAAAAGGAAAGCGCTAAAAAGCTTACTGGATATAAATAAATGATCATTAAACTAAAAAGAATGCAAAGACAAAGTTATTTGGAAACCTTAGAAAAACACCATATGAAGAACCAACTCACAGCACATTATTATTTTAAGAGAATTTACAGAAACAATTTAATCAGATCGTCCAGACAGACGGAAATCAATATCTAAGGAAACCCAGCTGATTGCTGCCAGTTGTCGACTTTGCAGAATTATCTTCATCTGGATGAGCATATGGCGACGTAGATATTCACTGCCATTGTCATTGGCTTTCCAGCCATCCCTCACACCAAACATGCATGCAGCCACAGTGGAAAGGACAGTAACTTCCAGTAGAAACTAAACCAGTGTGAGTGGAACATTGAAGTACTAATGGTAAACTAGCTCCATGAAGGCATTCTGTCTGGGAAAGAAACAATTAATCAAACAAGCTCTGAAACAGTTTTCATGTCAGAGGATGGAAAGAGCACATCCAGTTAGTAGCCCATTTATTTCTCTTGGAGAGAAACAGGACTACTATGAAAAAACAGGCCAAGCTCCAGCATCTAGAAACAGAGGTGTTGATGGCAGCAGCACAGCTGATATTTCTCTCCAGGATGGAGTCACAGCCAAACAGGAACAGACCAGATGAAGCTACTATGAGAAAAAGCAGAGAGAGCAGAACGTTAGAGATTGAACTAACAGATTCTGCAGAGTGGGAGAATAGAGATAGAATGAAGCAGAATGATGAAGAAGGGGTCCCTATGTCCTCCAGCAGTCTAAGCCTATAGCAGCAGAACTATAGAGATCGCTCAGGATAACTTAGGTATTTTGCATGAGGTATAACAAAGTTAGAACTTCACCCTGGGTGAAAAAGGAAGCATGGACTATTGTGCCAAACCCTAGGGACCAGTTCTTCTGGGCCCTTCCGCCATAACATCCAGGAGGGTTTTAATAAGGGGGAGGCTGAGTCCAAAGTAACACTTATTGTTGTGAAATCAGGCTGCACAGGAATTTTCCTTCAGCCTTGAGTCTTTTCTTGCCGGCTCTATGTGGTAAATCCTTAATTCCAAATTAGTTGGGCTTTGCTTCCTTGAAGCAAGCACATCCATGATCCCATCCCATCTCATCTTTGAGTTCAACCACTCCAGCCAGCATACGGTTCAGCTCCTGGTCCTGCTCGTTCACAGCCTCTGTGAGGGCATCAACCGCTGCTGCAGGCAGCCTGATCAATGCCCAAATTGCCACTGACATCCTCTGTAATTGTAAATACATCAGGTATCCTCCAAATCCAAACAGGAGACATCCAAGTATCGTAAAACCAAAAATCCATATATTTTTGATATCCTCCATTGACAACATTGTAAAAAAAACCATCCTCCAAGCCTTCCAGGAGTCCATGGTGTATCCCATGAAGTATGTCCCCTTTTCCCTGTCTTCCAGTTATATAAATCTAAACAATTGCATTGAGAAACCAACTGACCAGATCTATTGTTTGAGTTTGGATGACATTTAGAGAGATCTCAGAAAAGACAAGACACAGCAAAGCAGGGACAGGCTGGGAGGAACGGGAGCAGCAGGAAAATACGACCGCCTCCTTCAAAAGCCAGAACAGAGTTAGATCAGAGCTGTAATTTGCCACTTAATCTATAGAGATATAAATAATTATACATGCAATTGTTTAGCTAGATCAAACAACTGGAAGTAGGTCAGGGGCATCACTTACTGAACAGCCTTCATATAAGATGTTCAGGACAGTGTTATGTAAATAAAATAGAGAAAAAGAGAAGCTGTGTGTTGAGAAGTTTTATTATTTACAGTGTTGAATAAAATGACAAGGTTTGACTAAAACTAAAATAGATTTTTGTCATTGTGACTAAGACTAAGACTAAATTAAAAAAGGCTGACGAAATGAACACTGTTTGGAAAATTTTTGTTTAAGACTGGAAGAGTTTAAGACAGTAAAAACCGGTAAAGTCAAACAAAACTCAGTCATGTTGACACATCCACTCCAACAACATGACATATAAGGAATATATCCACGTCTTGATGGAATAAACCATTTTCTGTCAAATAAAAAGGTTCAAACTACACAAGTCTGCACAAAAACTGAGAGTATTTGATTATTAAAAAAAAAAGCAAGAAGGTTCTTATTTTGGTTTAAATATTCTACTAGAATAAATTAATAATATCACATTTTTTCTTGAAAAGTAAAAGTTAAACAACTAAAGGAATATTGGATATAACTGAATCAGTCCTCTTTCTAACAGGCCTGGATTGGTTTGTACCGTGATGAGACCATCTGGAAGTGGCTGTCAGATTATAATCCCAACTTCAGTAACTGGGCCAGTGGACAGCCTGACAACCTGTGGTACAGAGCAGGATGCGGAGGGATGTACAGCACTGGAAAATGGCACGATGCCTACTGTGAAGAGCTCTTTACACTCGTCTGCTCCAATGTGACCGGTCAGGGTTTACTTTCTTTCTTTCTTCTTCTTTCAGGATAGTCACTTAGAATCAGTCAGACGAAACACAGCCTGATTTCCAACAACTA